AAAAAAAAAAAAAAAAAAAAAAAAGCAATTTAAAATAATCTTAAAATTTAGGGAATAAAAGCAAAAGTACAATATGATTATAGACTTGATTATCCGTTTGAAAGCATACTCACAAATTTTAGACAATAATTGATGAATCTTGGGTCACTGTGGTATCTCTTCTTATCTAAAAATTCCTTCATTAAATGTTCTAATAACATTACCAAGTATTCTTTATTGTCAGGAAAATTCTCTTCTACCCATTGTATGTAACTAGAAAAACATTGACAATGTTAATTTTTCATAGGGTAGCATACAGTTGGTATAAAGAACAAACCAAAACCAAAACCAAAACCAAACAACTGAATGCTAACCTTTCCCATTCACCAAGTGGATCATTGCCCTTGTAGCTCTGCATATGGGCTTCAAACATTCTAGAAAAAAGAACAGTGTGTACACTGGACATTAGATATAATTACTAAGAGCAAAATATATATTTCATCATATGTTTTATTTATATGTTTTTAAATGGAAATCTTAAATATCAACACAAATGATACATAAAATTCAAAAGAGCATTCACTCAGAAGTAGCCCTAAACTCAGAAGTGGTCAGTGTTTCTCTACAACAAAGTTTGAATCTCCTTTTCTCCTTGTCCCCAGTGGGGCAGAGATGGGATGCTTGCTGCTCCTTCTCCTAGCAGTGGCATTAAGGTGTGGCCCTGCTGAGAACACTTAGGTTTTCTACAAGAATCTATACATTTTTTTTAAAAAGGAAATAAAAAAAAACTTTTGTAGATGACTTCTTTAGCATGTTTTGAGTTGGTTAAGAGAAATTGTAGCTCTACAAAGCTATTCTTCTATAAAGAAAATGTGCTTCAATCCACATTAGTGAAATTAATAAAAAAAGAGACTCTCTGAGGATCACTTATTTAATTTTCCTTTTTGTCTTTTATTTTGAAGTACGTGTGATTTTGCACATAAAATAATTTTTTTGGTCTGATCTCTTAATTTATGGTCAGTTTATTCCAGACTCAAAAAACTTCAGAAAGTAGAAAGAAAATCTTAAATTACACTTTCTTCTAGCTAATGTTTAAGTATATAAATGAAAGCAGTGTTCCTTCTGACTCAAAATTCAGAAACCACAATAGAAAAAAGCTACATAAATATTACTCATAGCTGGGCATGGTGGCACATGTATATAATTCCAGCACTTGGAAGTATGAGGGCAGGAGAATTCTTTGAGTTCGAGGCTAGCCTGCCGACCTGGTGAGTTCAAGAACAGCTTAGTGAGATCCTGTCTCAAAGAACCCTGCCACTACCCAAAAATCAACTGCAATATATGGCAATAAAAGGCTTCTAGATATCAATTAAACAAAATAAATTTAAAAACTGTCAGGCAGAATTGAAAGAAAGCTGAGATAACAAGATTTCTAGAAATTGAATGAAAAGAATACATATGAATCAATTTTGAAAAAAGAGCTGATAAAAGTGCAATAAAACAAGCCCAAAAAGGTGAAGTGTGACTCTTCATTAACATTAACCAAATTTTTTACATTGGATCATTATGTTAAATTTACATGGTATTGGAAATGGTAACCTACTTAATTTAAATGCTAAAATTTAAATTATGAGGTTTACACCAAAATCAACGTTTCACACATGCACTTTTAAAAGGCATAATAAGGGTTACAGTCTAGATAATAGAATGGTTTCTTGATACCCATAATCAGGTAATGATATTATTCAGAAATAAGAATGTTACTGCTATACAGAACTTGCATTTAAATTTAAAAAGACTTTATTAAGTCAAAATACAGAACTGGTAAGTTTGGCATACTTATTGATCTATATTTAATATTTCTTCTAGAAAATTAGATTACTTGTATCAATGATAATAATTTCTATATATAATCTACTTCCTCAGTCTAGTTCCATTAAAAATTTTTATGTTGTAACTCAAAATCAATTATCACAACAAAAACTTGCTTTACCTTAAATTTTGGCTAGATAAAACAATTCAGGTTTTACTATGAATTGTTTCTATAAAACTGCCATTACTTCTAGTCATTTATTTTATTTTAAAGGAGTAGAATATACTTTCATGAATTTCTATACTATGCCTTAAGAACAGTAATAGGCACCTGCACAATTATGAGATCGCTGAGGTAGTTTGGAATTCTCCATGTAAGCTAATGAGTCCATATATTGTTAGCACTGTGAACAGTTACTCAGCAGGCCTGAAGCCTGAGTCTACCCAGGACGGATGGAACCAATTTTGATATTATGATACAGATAAATAAGCAAAGAACCATAGTAGTTATTTAATATTTACTTCTCACTTTTTGTAAACTGTTTTATGGATAACTTCAGTTTTACCAAAAAGCTGATACATTTCAATATTTTGAAAACATAAGTACTAGTTTTGAGTTGGCAGAGGTAACCTATCCAACTACCATTATGTTTAGCACTAAGAAGTTTATCTTTCAGTAACATTATTGAAATGCAAAAAAAGCTGAAGGCATTAAAAAAGCATTTCACAGAGAAATATAAATGGCTCTTAAACTTGAAAAAAATGCTCAAGCTCTCTCATAAGAAAAACTCATCTCAGTGAAATATGACCCTCTCATCCATTAGATCCATCCAAAAAAAAAAAAAAAAGTCAACAAAATATATAAGCAATCAGGGACAAGCAGGGGTTTTCACATCTTGCTTGCAAATTAAGAAGGTGCCCAAAGTCTGTCGAGGGAATTGGCAATACAGTATTCCCCCCTTATCTAGACTGCTATTGGATGCCTGAAATCACAGATGTCCTAATGCACATCCATATTGTGCTTTTTCATATATTTACATATATATTTGAAATAAGGTTTGATTTACAAATTATACATATATAGCAGTAGTTTAATGTACAAATTAGGTACCATAAAAGATTAACACCAATAATTTATAATAAAACAAAACAATTTCAGACTTTCTTTGGATTGTATCCTTTCTCAGTCAACTTCTTCAGCTGCTGGAAATGTGGCAGCAGTTATGTCAGCAGATGTAATCTTTCCAATTAATTTTGTAATTTTGGTAATTAATAGTTTTCACTCCAAAATTATTATTTTTAACCCCCCACCCGGCCATGCCAAAATTACTCCTGAATCTCTGTAACAATCTCTTCCTTGCAGTAAGTGGCTTCCTGTCATTCAGTTCAGGGGACCCCTTGCTTAAGTCCTCCTACAGGCCCACTGCTTTCTGGTGCAACACACTGCTGTCTATTGGAATACTTTCTGTTCGTGTATTCTACCCCCAAATTTAATTTACTTCCTCGACAAGTACTCGTCATACATGATAGCTATACCCTCTGTTGTTTGTATCCTTCCTTCACACTTGCATGGAAAGAAGATTCATTCTTACCATAGGCCTCAGCAGCCTCAGTATGCAATTTTTCTTGCCATATTAGGTGAAGGAGTTTTATTCACCTTTCACTCAAAGGAAGCACACTGTGGATTCTCTCTGGTATATCTGAATTGCCAGGAGAACCACTCTTGTGCTTTGAGAACATTTTTTAGTAAAATAATATTTGTTGAGCACAAGTACTGCAGATAGCATAACAGACAGATCTGGTAACCAAGGCTACTTTCTGTCTAGTGGGTAGATAGCTGTACAGCTTGAAAACACTGGACAAAGGGATGACTCACTTCCCAGGTGGGGTGGGACAGTGCACGAAGGGGCAAGGTTTCCTGAGGCTACTCAGAATGGCCCACAACTTAAAACTCGCAAATTGTTTGTTTCTGGAATTTTTCATTTAAAATATTTGGATACAGACAACAGAAATCACAGAAAGTGAAACTGTAGTGGGGACTACAGTACTTACCAAAATCACAGATGGATTTGGGAATCCAGAAAATAGATACATCTGTATATATACAAAATACCGGATGCACATTTTTTGTCATAATACTACATGTAATAACAAAAGGTTGGCAGCAGCCCAAGGATGTATTGATAGAGGATTGTTTAGATCAGTTATGGTATGTGAAATATTATGCAATTGTAAAAAAAAGAATAGAAAAGTTCTACGAGGAGGCCTTTTTTTTTTTTTTTTTCAAGTATTTTTAGGACAGGGTCTACAGGGTCTCACTGCGTAGATATCGGACTGGTAGTGATCTTCCTGTTTATAGCCTCCCAAGTGCTGGGATTACAGGCGCGCGCCACCACGGCAGGATGGGGGATCCAACTCCTGGCCCCTGCGTCTGCCTAAGCAGGCATTTTTAATCCGCTGAGCTATTTATTTGGCCAGCCCTCTTTTCTATTTTTTTGAAACAAGGTCTTACTATCTAGTTTAAGGTGGCCTCAATATTGAGATTATCCTGCTTTAACTTCCTGAGTGCTAGGCTTTTAGGTGTGTGTCACCATGCTGTATTCATAGAACTCTGCAAGATATTGTTAGGAAAAAAAAAGTTAGTGTCGCTGTACTATATCTTACATGAGATGAAGCAGGAAATGTGTATATATTAGCACACAAACTACATATAAATATATAATATAAATATATTAACAAGAGCCGGTCAAATAGCTCAGCAGATTAAAGCACCTACAAGGAGGCTCAGGGGTTGGGGGTTTGATCTCTGCGCCTGCCATGCCGCCCCACTCCCAGGGCAAGCTGAGATGGTGATTGAGACTGGGCGTGGTGGCGTAATCCCAACTCTTGGGAGGCTGTAAACAGGCGGATCACTATGAGTCAGATCTAGTAGTGAGACTCTGAACACCCTTGTGGACCCTTCCCGAAAATACAAAACATATATATGTAGTATATAAGCAACATATTTATATTTTCAAAAAGAAACACCTGAAACACAAACTGGAAATGGTTATATATGATGGGGCGAGAAGACATGTATAAGAGTTCTATAAATACTTTTCTAAAATACATTATTTTTAAAATTTAAAAGTAATTGTTCTAAATTGAATCTCTCTTATGTCTCACCAGAGGAAAAGATCCTTATGTCAGAACCATTCTCCTAAATTATGTGTAATATACATATAACACTTGCCCTGCGTAAACATTTCATGTTCTCACACCAACCACATTCTCCAGAACAATGCCTTAAATATTAAAATATCAGGTTCACCAGAGCAAATTAGTTTTCAGGGTGAAATAAAGTCAGGAATATCTTCTTTCCTTTTACAAGAGGGGTTTGTGGGGATATGGGGTGTTACTAAGTTTCCAATACACTGAGGCTAAGGAAAAAAAAGTAAACAGGCTTGTTTTCACTATATTAGCAATCTAGGCTTCTAATCATAACAGAACTGATAAAATGAACACGTTTTACTTCCAGCCTTTTGTGATTTAACTGTTTTAAATGTTTTTTAATCACAGGTTGGACCAGTCAGTCTCTTAAATTATACAACAAATGTGAGGAAAAGTTAAAAAATTGTTAGGAGTTGCCATGAATAGCTCAGAAATAAGAAAAGCACCCCCTCCCATAAAGGACTTGGCATCCAAAGAGTTTTTCAAAAGTAAAGCTGAGGTTATGGGCAAATTCCCTACTGCAAAAGAATATTTAAATACGAGATTTTGAAACTTTCTCACAAAGCCTAAGTCACACAAGGTCTGGGCTTCTGATGGCCAAACATGTTTCATTCAGAGGCGATCTGTCCAGTGGGGGCTCCTAAACAAGGCTTCGGAGGGCCGCATAAAACACCCAAATGCCCCCAAACGGCCCCTGGGGCAGGGCTGGAGAGACGACAGCGGTATGCCAGAGGAGTCACCTGGCACACGGGTGACTCACGAATGGCCCGCAGCCCGGGTCGAGGTGGCACAAATCCCAAAGCCCCGGAAAGAGGCCCAGGGGACCGGAAGAGGCTGGAGAGGGCGGGATGGGTTGAGGATCGGGGCCGGCAGGCCTCATTCTAAGTGCTCAACCCCCCCGGGGGCCTGTAGCCGGGGATGAGGCCCTCGCTTCGCCGCCACCCCCTCAGACGGACACTTACTGAAAGACATTTTCCGGGTTATCCATCGCTAAAGGACGAGCGCAGCCAGCAGGACTCCTATGCCCAGAAGCAGCAGCGCCGCCGATTCGAATCTCCCGCGCAGCCGCAGTCGCGGAGCCGAGCGTTGGAAGGCGTGTGGCCATTGGCCCCAGCGGGAGGCGGGCCGACCAATCACAGGGGCCGTTGCCTGGAGATCAAGTCCCACCCCCAGAGCCGAGCTCCCACCATTTCCGGTAGCTCCTGGCTGAGAAGGTTGGTAGCGAGCTGTTTGTCCCGGGGAAGGCATCGCTGGACCCGAGGTTCCTGACAGGAAAATTGTCTCACCATTTGGGTCCTGACTGTCGCGTCTCTTGGTCCCTTTTAGTTTAAATGTATGAATTGCGACCAGTATGTTCGACTTACAGAACGAAAGAGAAGAATTCTGTCTGTGAGGCTGAGGCGGGCGCAGTGAAGGCTGAAGCGCGAGCGAAACGCCTGCCGCTGGTTTAGGGGGTTGGCAGGCGCCGAGAGACGCGGAACCTCGTTTCAGGAGGCCACCGCCCTCGTTCTGACAGTTTTCTAGCCCGCGTCCTCGGCTCTTAGGAAAGAACCCACAAGCCAAAGTCAGTGGAGTCTTAGTTCCAGACCCCAAAATGCTGAGGCGAAGGAGTGGTTAGCGACTCACAGAAAAACCTGTTTTTTGCCTTACTGAGTGCAATATATGGCGGTTTAGAGTTGGTTATGTGGCTACTATGAAGGTCATGGATTGGGACCCTGGTAGATTTCTGGACTTGACCTAGCTAGTCTGACAGGCTTCGTGGGAAGGCTGCAGGTAACTAAAATAAGGACGGAAGAATTAGAGTGGATTTTATGTAGAATGCCAGAGAGAAAGTTGTCAGCGTCTTTCATAGGACTGGGCACTCTGGAGACCAACGTCTTAGGAATTATAAAATCCTGTAAAGTCCAGAAATAGGTAATGTGTTGATATGCCCTAACGAAAAGTACATTGGAAGAGAGTTAATCTAGCCTTCTGTATCCCTTGGGGTTTAATAACTTCCTACTCTACCTCTCCAGGTTGTTTCAAGGGCCAATTATCAATGCAAGAGCACTATAAAGAGCTATTGTGATTGCCTCCTTTAGAAAGAAGTGCTGTGGATGTTTCAGCTTCCTGCGGGCCTCTTTAAATTCAATAAACAAAACTTTAACAGCTTCTGAAAATTGGGGTGCTCTCAGACTAGAATTTCTTCTGACTCGCTGATCTCTGGATCTGCACGGGGTTTATTACTCAGTGCTCATTCTGAGGTCTTTAGACAAGTGCTAAGTTCTGCCTACCATTACAGGAATTACAAAAACTCGTGTTTTCAGCTGTTGGTGGGTTAATCAGTAATTAGGAAATACTGACTGAGCAATCTTTATAAACTAGGCGCTGTTGGTCTTAACCTAATTATTATAACAGAAGCTGTACTTAAACTAGTGATTTGTCTGGGATTTGAAGATGCAGAATCAGAAAACTGTTGAAAAGTGGAATATGTATATATTAAGAGCCGAATGAGGTTCTTTCTCCAAGAAAGAAGAGGTAGTAGGACCTATTTTCATGGGGAGGGTGGGGCTAGTAATGGGAGAGGTTCTTTGCAGGGATAAATGAGGATTACAGGAGAGATCCCTCTTGAACACTTGTGACTGAGAAGATTTGTGTGTGTGTGTGTGTGTGTGTGTGTGTGTGTGTGTAAGTCTAGTTTAAAATTGAATATAAGATCTTGAATTTGTACTTTCTTGCATTAGTAACTGGTTGTTTTGGGAGCAAATAAGCGTGTGGTTGTAAAGACCTCTCGTTAGTTGTAGTTAACTGCATTGTTTTCTGAAAGCCACAGAATTGTCTGCCTCCTTGCCACTTCTGCTACTGGAGGTTCTTCTACCAGGCTTGTTAATGTTAAGGTATCCTGGATGGATGCTCTTTCATACTGCCCTTTAAAAGAGACACAGTGATCCCCCTAAGCCCCAGGGCCAATTGTTGTAAATATATCTAGGAGTAATAGAAATAAAATATGAGGCTTGTCAGCAGTCATTAGAAATCAACGTTTTTCCAGGAATAGTTTCCTGGCTTACTAAGTGACTTTCCTTAGTTCTTATCTAGGATGTTTCTGCTGTAGTTTACCTCTGCCATTATTATTCTGTGGAGGAATTAAGATGATCCTATCCACTATATATTGATCTTAATGTCCCTCTTAGCTTGACTAACTTGGTGGTATCCAGGATTTATTGAGAAAAGGGGGAGAGATAGGCAGTCAAGCCGAGGACAGTAATTTTCAGATTACACTAGCATTGATGACAGAATGGAGGGTGAGGAGGACATCAAATTTCACGAAAGAAGAATGTTCAACACAATGATGGCTTCAATATGTAAGAAAAAGATTCAAAAGATTGGGGCCTTGGAGAATTGACAGGTACAGTTCACTAGAACTGGAGAATGCTATACCTCTGGTTTTAAATGTGATCAGTTGGAGAGGTGTAATGGTTAATCTTGGTTGTCAGCTTGCTTAGGTGGAGAGATACTTAGAAAATTATTAGACGATACCCGTGGGTGTATCTGTGTGGGTTCTTGCAGAGAGGGTCAGCAAATGGGGAAGATCTGCCCTGAATGTAGGCAGCATGTCGGATAGGCTGGGGGTGGGGCAGATGTAACAAAAATGTGGAAGTGAGAAGCTTACTCATGTACTTGTGCTCACTTAATACTTAAGTGTTTTTATTTCTTTTTTGCTGTTACCATCACTCATAGACATTATATTCCTTTCTTTCTTTTTCTTTTCTTTCTTTTTTTTTTTTTTTTGCTCCAGGGATCAAACTCAGGACCTTGTTCTTTTTTTTTTTTTTTTTGACAGAACTGGGGATTGAACTCAGGCCCTTGCACTTGCTTGCCAGGCAAGCACTTATTCTAATGAGCCATCTCCTTGGTCCTAGGACCTTGTTCTTGCCAGGCAGGCTCTTATAATGCTAAGCTATCTCCTGGGGCCCCTAAACTCTGTATCCTTCAGCCTCTGAATGTAGACATGCACCAGGAACTCTCTAGGAAGTTTCCATGCTTCTAGCTCTGACTGCAGCTGCATTATTAGATTTTCTTTTTTTCTGAGACTTGTAGCTTTTTATCCTGAGTAGGAATAGGTTTTCCAACACCTTCCCCAGACTGCCACAGACCTTCCACAGACCTTTGTAGACTATGTCCTCCCCGGCCTCTGATTGTGTAAGGCAATCTAATAAGTGTCATAATTATAAACACATTATGTTAGTACTGTTCCTCTGGAGAGCTCTAATCACATTACAAGACATTTTTCCTTTTACACAGCAAATCTTAAGTCATGGTAGAAAGAATACAAGAGATAGATATGACTCACTGCCTTTTGGTGCTTATTGGAAGATATATCATGTGCTGTTTCCTAAGGCTAGAATGATTTTTTTCCTAAGAGCTTTATATTTTCTTTATATGCCAGGAATAAATGAAGAGCCTTCAAACAGTTTGAAGAAAATCTGAAAATCCTGAAATACTGGCGATTTAAACAGAAAATACTAAAGGACTGATAGATATAATGCTCATTTAAAAAAAATATTCACTTGAAACTCAGCACTCCACCTTCCAGTGGTTCGTCCATTGCATTCCTTAATTGGCCTCTGCTCTTTCTTCTCAGGTTTGGGTTGAGAACCCAGAAAATTGTCATAGAAACATCTGAGTTTATTAAATAATAATCCTCACTTCATTAATCCGTCTCTCTTTGTTTTTGGCATTGCCCTTGCCTTAGTTCATCTGTAATCTTTTCTCCTCAGACCCAGCCCAAACAGTGAAAGGGGAGATTTGGTTTGCCGTGCATGAGCGCAGCATACCTGCTGTGTCCAGTGCATACCTTTTGTGCATCACAGGCAGAAATGTGCTGCTACAGTCCTCTTTTCCTATAAAACTAATTCACCTCGGAAGCTGACTCAGCACTAACTTTCCATCTATCAAAATGATTCTATTAGGTTTTTCTAAGTTATTAGGAAGAGCAACAAGTAAAGCATTTGTATTTATACATGGGCTTTTGGTGTGTTCTCATTCTAACATAATTTCCACACTTAGTGGAAAGGGACAGCAGGCTGCCTTCCGCAGGCAGTGGGTGAGCAAATGATCTAAAATCTTAGTGTAGGTGACATTTTGTTGTTCTGCAAAATGAAAAAAGAACCTATTTCTTCATAATGTTTTTCTTACTTCCTCCTCTAACCTCATAGAATTTTCCATTTAATTTTGATCAGTCTTGTTTTATCACTTGCTATCATAGTGCTGTGTTTAGAAAAGGAAAATAATTATTTTTCTATAGACTCTACTGGTGTGATCTAAACAAATAATCACAGGTACATCGATACCTTCTTTTCTCTGGAAAATGTGAAGCAATTTAGCTCAGCAGTATTAGACTTGTGGCTAGTATACCTCACACAACATAGAAAATTAGAGAGTCAGAATAACTATAGAAAGCTGAGAAGTGATTTATGGGACTATCAAATATTAAGAGTAAAGTTGGTATGCTGAGAAAGGGATAAAGGCCAGATGTGGTGGTGCACATGTGTAATCCTAGCAGTCTGAGAGGCTGACACAGCATTGTGAGCTTGAGACCAGTCCAGGCGATTTAGTGCCTTAGAGAAGCACTTTCTAAAAAAAAAAAAAGATGGGGATATATCTCTGTGTGAATGACCTCAGTTTAAACCCCAGTTACAGAAGAAAATAAAGAAATATTGCTCCATTGAATTTTTTTTTTTACCATTTAATTGAGAAGTATCTTTTAAAAAATGAAAGATGGCATAATTAACATTTACAATTGGATTTGAAGTTTAAGTTACAGAAATATCAGACATCTTTTTTTTTTTTTTTGATGTATTTAGTACAGGGTCTATAGGATCTCACTACACAGATTGTAGTGATAGTAATCCTCCTGTTTTCAGCCTCCAAAGCACTGGGATTACAGGCAGGTGTCAACACGCCTAGTCTCAGTCGCCATCTCAGTGCATCCTGGGAGTGGGGCTGGCACAACGTGCTGGCATTCGAACCTTGGT